CAGAAACTCCTGAGTGTGGGGCAAGACCAGAAAAGGTGACCAAGGGTTCCATCCATTGCTTTGCATCTGTCACACAAAGACGAAATAGACGGAAAAATGCTGCATAGCTTTGTTTTAGAAAAATGCAAACGATGAAGGACCTTGAACTGTATAAGTTGTAGTCTGGCATTAACAGAGCATTCAGAAAATGTATGTCTCTATTGTTTTTGCAAGACCTAAAAAATGCAACATAAGCAGCTTGTGACTTGTTATGGATCAAACATTGCTGGGAAAACCTCAGCATGTTGTATGTACTGTGTGTATTCCCCATGCTAATAAAAAATAATATATACTGCAATAACAGAGTGAAAGAACAAAGCCACAGAGCCTGTACCATACCCTTTATTTTATTCATGATACACACAGAAAATAAGCATTCATATTGATTTTACAGCCCATTTTATGAATCGTCTCCTCCCTGTGGCACTGAACACATTGGACAACTTCATAGCTTGTCTGGCATCATCTGACATCTTCAGTGTCGTTCCCCTTGTCTTTCCTGCCCCATCTCTTTCTTTTTTTTTATGTCTGCCTTTTCTTCTTCTTTCCTTCTTCCTCTCTGCCTCTGCCTAACATTCATCATGCCGTCAACTTTCCTTCTTCCAGGCTGCAAGCACGTGAAGGGCATCTTGCTGTTTGGACCACCAGGATGTGGCAAAACGCTGATGGCCAGGCAGATTGGCAAGATGCTCAACGCCCGCGAGCCGAAGGTCGTCAACGGCCCAGAGATCCTGAACAAGTACGTGGGAGAGTCTGAGGCTAACATCCGCAAACTGTTCGCCGAGGCTGAGGAGGAGCAGAAGAGGGTAAGTAATACTTTTTTTCTGTACTTGTATTAAGCTAAAAATAAATACACAACTTACAAAGTTATTCGGACTTTCAGCTGGGCGCTAACAGTGGCCTTCACATCATTATCTTTGATGAGCTGGACGCCATCTGCAAGCAGAGAGGAACGGGCGCCAGCAGCACAGGCGTGCACGACACTGTCGTCAACCAGCTTCTGTCCAAGATTGACGGCGTGGAGCAGCTTAACAACATCTTGGTCATTGGTAAGTAGCATCAGAGGAAATGACTGAACCCATTGTTAGCTTTAAAATATATGTAATGGTCCCTTACGTTCAAACACATAAGGCCTATATGAGTCAACAACAATCATTTTTTTATTTCCATGAAAGCTGGGAAAACCGTTTTATCCATATTAAACAATAAATTTAGTTAATGCAGTGTAGCATCTTTAACAGCATGAATTCTTCTGGGTTCACAGTTATCTTGCCTTCGCTCCTTCTCTCCAGGTATGACCAACAGGCCTGACTTGATAGATGACGCCCTGATGAGACCCGGCAGGTTTGAGGTGAAAATGGAAATCGGTGAGATTGCATTTTCTCATTTGGGTACAAGTCTCAGGCACACGTGGAATAAAACGTGATGCAGTGTGCTCGTTTAAATGGCTATAAGGTGGGGCACCATTAATCCAAACCATTAAAATGTCAGCTAAATCCAAATAGCATCATTTCCACAGCAGAACCAGGATGATATTTTTCTGGGATATAAACTGGATTACACGTGGATTATTTCAGAGTTTGTGGTTTTGTGGCTGCAGTAGTGGTATTACTGTAAACCCGGGCTTATCCAATCATTGAGGTAAATGGAAAATAAGGCAACCACCTTTAAGCTTCTGAATGACACAAACACATTTTATTATACTCGGCCTCTAAGACGTCACAGTACAAAGTACATATTGTGGCAGGAAAATCAGTGTTGGAAAAAATGTTTCTTCTTTAAATAAATGTACTGTCCTGGCTTTCTCCTGATGGTATGTAGAGGCATGCCACGTTAACATAATCTTCTTTTTTTTTCCATTTAATTGAATAACATTTTGAAAATCCAACCGCAGCTCCTCTTCCAAAAAACAGCGTCTTTGTTACTCTGAACAAGAACACAGTGTGCATGCCAAATGGAACAACTTTATCCAGAAAAAGTAGTCCCTGTTTCTCCTGTCTATAGCTCGTGGCCCTGATCCTACTAGACCCCTCTTTATAAATCTAGTTAGCATCAGACATACTACAGTTAGCAGCAGGTCCTTCGGTGAACTCGGTGTTTCCACAGATTAGATGTGTTGCCATGGTCAACTACACACTGGGTTTTGAAAAGTGTAAGCACACGTGAGACTGCTTTCAGCTTGCCCTGGAGTGATGTCACATGGTCTTCCTTTCTTTCTCCCTTTAACTCAGATGTACTCTGCTGCTAATTTTTTTTCTTTTTTTTCATTGAGCAGTAGACTATGTGTGCCTTAGCATATGCTACTTCCGGTGGGGAAACTCCTGTAGGGCGCTTCGTTTCCGGTGTGATATTCGCAGCTTGTTTAAGGTGGGGTTTTCCAAAAAAAGTCAACCAAATGGACGAATCAAGAAGCGATTTACATTTCTCAAGATGTCTTGAGCATTTGCCGAATATATCTGTAGATGATGTTCATCGACTTGTCGATATTTTTCCCTTGCGCCTCAGAGCAAAAGAGAGAAAGGATTGAAATTTCTTGGTATTTTGTATATAGAGTTCCCTCGTTTATCGCAGGTGTTATGTTCTAAAAATAACCAGCGACAGGTGAAATCTGCGAAGTAGCCAGCTTTATTTTTTACAATTATTTTAGATGTTTTAAGACAGTTTCACACTGTCCATTACAAAAAGTCCTTTACAGAATGAAACCAAAGATCAAAACCTGTTTTCAGTCCCAAACATTTATTTGAGAAATAAACCTACAGTATATTTGTTTCTCTATAAATAATAATGACAGATTTTAGAACTAACGAATTTAACTTTAAGCTTAATTGCTTAATTTAAGCTTAATGCACCTTATAGTCCGGTGCGTGGTATGGTAAAAAAACCAAAAAACGATAACTTCTACCTTCCTTTAGCATGTCCAGAAGTCCAACTTTTTGTGATGGTTAGCATCTTCCTCTGCCTTTTGGGTGCTACCGCAGGTGCCTTCATCGACATTGTTGTGTTTGTTGGGGAGAAACTTACAAACGTACATTACAGAACTTCAGAGTCACACTGCTAGTGATCGATGTAGCGATTCTGTACTGTACAGGAGAGCACGGCACGGCATGGAGGAGATCGACAGTGATCTACAGCCGATCGGGACGCAGAACACAATGCGCTTTACAAAAAAAAAATTTAAAAAAAGCATGCAAAATTGCACTAAAAGAATCCACGAAACAGCAATGGTGAGTGTTCCCACCCTCTGCTCTTTGTAACTTAACGTAATCTTTCCGTTTTCGTATTTTGGACATGATTTTTGAGTCCACCTTCGCAGTAGCAATTGACTGCAAAATAAAGCTACCGGAAATGTACAACCCTACATCCGGTCTTAAAACAGGAAGTTAGCATTTTCTCGTGCACAGGGTCTATTGCAAAATACAAATGCTCTCTGCTGCTAAAATTTGATACCAATGGATTTGGTGTGAATTGGTACTCAGTAGCACCTGTGTAATTCAGTCAGCACCGTAAAAAGTATGAAGTTTGGGGCATAAGCTTCATTAAAGTGTTTCTAATCAGTAGCTAAAGCATTTCTGTTAGCTAGTTAATGTTAGCACATTAAGCAAGCTAGTGCCCAGAGACAGTAGCTACTGTGCTTTCACCCACTGGTTTTTGATGACCCTTTCTCAAGCAACAAAATGAGTATTGTTACTGTTGCCATCTTGGTCATACAAGAGTATGACCAAGACTTATAAAACCGACTTAATTTTTAATTCAGTATGAGTGACTGAGACCATGAACTCAGTAGGAAGGTTGTTCTCCCAAAGACTTGCAGTTCTTCTTGTAACCTCAGACATTGCTCCCTGGTGGGAGCAAATAATGCACATTTAAGGGATTTGAATGTTGGCTTCCATTTTAATACCCAGAAGCTATATCCATCTTTTATACTGTCTACGGCTAGTGCTAGTTGGAAGCTCAGCTCGAATATTTTTGAATAAAAGCCTGTATATTAATGATCTTTCCTACTCTTTTTTTTTTAAACCCTCATTCTAATCTCTAGGTCTTCCTGATGAAAAGGGACGCGTCCAGATCCTAAACATCCACACCAACAAGATGCGAAGCTTCAACCTTCTCGCTTCCGACGTCAACGTCAAGGAACTGGCAGCGGAAACTAAGAACTACAGCGGTGCAGAGCTGGAGGGTCTGGTCAGGGCTGCGCAGTCAACCGCCATGAACCGGCACATCAAGGTCACTAGGCACTTCCTAATACACAAAGCATACATAGCGCTGTGTCAGTGTAGTGACGAAGCAGAAACACCATCCACGTGAATAGTTTTCGTCTAAAACACAGATCAGATATCAGATTTAAACATCAGTGGCTGTAAAAACCATGGACAACAGCACCTCTCCAAAACTGAAGCTTCAGTTTTGGTGCCTGGCAGCAGTATAGGTCATAAACCCTGCCTCTTCCAAGTTAGTGGATGGCACAAATATGCTTTCTGCTAATTTAGGTAGTTATGATCATGGAGATCAACTTTCTCATTAGTTCATTTTAATTACTGATTTGCTGCTCTGTTCAAGAAATGCAGTTTACTGCAAACCACAGCAACTGATACACGTTAGGGCAGGGGTGTCGAACTCCAGGCCTCGAGGGCCGGTGTCCTGCAGGTTTTAGATATCACCCTGGGTCGACACACCTGAATCAAATGATTAGTGCATTACCAGGCCTCTGGAGAACTTCAAGATATGTTGAGGAGGTCATTTAGCCATTTAAATCAGCTGTGTTGGCTCAAGGACACATCTAAAACCTCCAGGACCCTCAAGGCCTGGAGTTCGACATCCCTGCTTTAGGGCATCAATGCATTGTTTATATCACCCAACGCATATATATTACTGTCTCTAAGGGAGAGCCCAGACACACTTCAGTGGAGGTTAATTTCAGTGACCTCATTCTTTCGTCTACTACCCACAGCTCAAGGCCATAGATGAGGGTAGGAGCATAGATCAACCAGTAAATCAACAGCTGTACACTAGCTCCTCTGCGTTCCTTAGTCGATTTTATGCTCATCTGAAACTTGCTGACTTTTGTTTTTTGTAGATATTTCAGATTAGTAATGACAGGGGATTGAGTTGACATTGCCCCGTTAATTTGTCATAATTTAAATGTGATGATTTCATCTCCAGGCTACCTCTACAGTTGAGGTGGACATGGAAAGGGCAGAGAAGCTGCAGGTCACCAGAGATGACTTCATGGGATCCCTCAACAATGACATCAAACCAGTATGTCTCTGCTGTTTTCAGAGATGATGTCATGAGCTTATGTTATGAATACAGTTTAATCCAGTGATATGAAAAAGGCAAAACAATGTTCCTAATACTTCTTCTTTAAATTTTCTAAGGCATTTGGTACCAACCAGGAGGACTACTCCAGCTACATCATGAATGGCATCATCAAATGGGGCGACCCAGTCACTCATGTTCTGGATGATGGAGAGCTGCTGGTACAGCAGACCAAGAACAGTGATCGCACACCACTTGTTGCTGTTTTACTGGAGGGTAAGAAGTCAGAAACTCATCCAGCTAGTACCCCTGTGAGGAGTATTAATAGAAAAATGTCCATCCATCAGCAGCAAGCTGTACCTTCCCCTTTGCATTCCAACAGGCCCACCCCACAGTGGAAAGACAGCCCTGGCAGCTAAGATTGCCGAGGACTCACAGTTCCCCTTCATTAAGATTTGCTCTCCAGACAAGATGATTGGACACTCAGAGATCTCCAAGTGCCAGGCAATCAAAAAGGTAAATGCAGCAGTGTCTTTTTGACTTTACACCAGTTCATTAAATAATCAGATGTTTACATTTAAAATTGTAGGTTTTCTTGTCGTTTCTCATGCATTAATGTCTTTCTGTCTTCACTCTTCCTCTCTTTGTTTCAGGTCTTTGATGATGCTTATAAGTCTCAGCTGAGCTGTGTTGTGGTGGATGACATTGAGCGTTTGCTGGACTATGTGCCCATCGGTCCACGTTTCTCAAATCTGGTCCTTCAAGCTCTGCTGGTGCTACTCAAGAAAGCTCCACCCAAGGTCAGAGTTCATCTGAAAACTGTATACACACTTTAATGTTGTGAACAAATATATGTTTTATATGTATGTCTTAGGGCTGGGCGATATGACCCAAAATTCATATCTCGATATTTTTTACCTGGACGGCGATATAAGATATATATCTCGATATTTTTTTT